ATAATTTGCAAAACCTCAATTCTGCTCATATATGTATTTGCACTATAAATTTATGAACAAAATAAATTCCGTTTTTTACTGGTTAACGTTTCAATGCAGAATATCCTATTAAAAGAATCCAAGGAAAGTGCCTTGTTGTAAAGCCTTCAATTTATGTTTATTTAATGCATCTCTAAGCTGTAGGTAAGAAAAGCCCATGTTCTGGTTCAGTAGTTTACCATCTGTTGAAACTTTTGGCTTATTTTATGTGAACCAATTGGCTTAGGTTTGTTGACCAAGGGGACAACAAGAGGTATCACATAGAGAGAGAAGGGAGAGAGGCTTGGATGGAAGGATAATGACAAGATGGTAGATGAAATCCAGGGAAATATGCAATGGAAAAGGTTTCTATATTTTCTCTACTGTGTAGAAGTTTTATATTTTTTCTCCATCCGTTCGTCCAATTTAGATCAAATAAGTTATTAATTGTTTGATCTAGATCTAACACTTTGGGGTATTTTATTTTTAATTTTATTTTACAAATTATATGAATATGAAATTTGGTACATGACATCATCTCAATGGGGCACACCTAAAAACAATATAAAAAAATATTTCAATAAAATAAAATAACCTTAATACTCTTGCAACTTTTGGGCGTATTGTTATTATTTTATTTTGTTGAGAATATTTTTTTTATATTTTTTTAGGTGCGAGTTTAAGAGAGGAGTGGATGCCCAAATTTTGGTTTCAAAATGAGTGTAGAGGTGTGACATTATAATTGGATCCATCTTAACTGTTCATTCAAATCTGATGGCTATATAAGGGGAAGCATATAAAGCTTGCCCACATGAAATATGATTCTATGAAACTAAAAGAATATTTAGTGAGATGACAAAATTGAATTTTTATAATATGGATGCAGTTGCTATAAGGTCTAGGCTTTATGGCAACAAAGTAAAGCCCTCACTCTCGAATCGTTGTCCGGAAAGCACTTTGGGCATTAGAAGTCCCTATTATGGCTCTAAAATCAATTTCTAACACCGATTATGAAATTTGAAGCTAAAAAAATAGCACTGATCTCACGGATTAGTGAACACTTATTTTTAGGGCAAAATGAACGACTTAGGTAATATATACAATATATACTAGTTTTAGGGCTTAAAATCGTAATTTTGTTTTTCACAACCACATCAATTTGAAGGCTTTTTAATGTCAATACTGCTATTTTCGATGAGTTTTTTGACGAGGCTTTACTTATTTTGATAGGGTTACAGCCCTAACAAAACATTTTCCTCATAATAATAGCTAAATCATATTAAATAATATCTAAGTCAGAAATTTAACAGTAATTATTTTCTATTTTAAAATTTGGGCAATTTATCAAAATACTCATTAAAGTATTTAACATGTTGCCAATTTACGACTATTCCAATTCAAACAATGTGTTTTTCTATAGGTATTTTGAAAATAAATCAAAATATATGACCAAACTATTAAATTTGGGATTGCATACAATAAAATCATTTACGCTATTATAAGGCGATCATAATCATTCTTAGTTCTTATATATCATATTGAATGCCTTGAGGTTTGTCACAAAGTTTGAGAATTATTTTTAAACTTCGAGTCTAGTCAATGACACACTTACAATCACCTGTTTTAAATTTTGACAGACAATAATATTGTGATTGCCTTATACTAAAAATAATCACTATCTTTCTATACCTTTATTTGAAATTCATCTCCCAGGGTAATTTGATAAATTTCCTCAAACTACACAAAGGCATAATAATGGCACGTAAAGCATTAAGGGTGATTATGGTAATTTGAAAACTTCCAGCGGCGACAACTTGCTCTAGCTTTGACAATTTACGGCTGGATTTTTGGGTCAACTACTTAAAGCACAATAAATATAGACAAAATTACAAAATAAAACCCGAATAGATTTTCTAATGCAAAACTCTTTTGCTCACTTTTTACTTCAAATTCAACTTTTTTAGCAAATACCTACAAGTCCAAAGAGTCATATTTTTTAGCAAATACCCACAAGTCCAAAGAGTCATATTTTTTAACAAAAATGTCCATAATGTCGGATCGCCCTCATTTTGTGCTGGCCACATATGTCCCTAGTGCCGGATTACCCCTATTTTATTTCAGACCGCATACTTTTTCAGAAGCCCAAAGTGCCGGACCGACTCATTTTATGTTGGACCGCATGTTTTTCATAGGGTATTTTGGTCTTCATTTTATTTTTTCCGACTTGGGGATATTTGCTAAGAAAGATAAATTTGAGGTAAAAAGTGAAAAAAAGTTTGGTTGAGGGTAAATTGTATAAAAATCTATTCTTGGGAGTTATTTGCAATTTTGCGATAAATATATTGAAAGACGGGTGAGGTTTGTATAAAGTGTCAACCTTATGCTGTTGACATAAGGTGCCCCTCAAAATTATTGCCAAAAATATAGTTTCGATGTTGCAAAGCCTTGTGTGATGATATGAAAATATATTGTTGCCCCTAATTATGAAATTTAAAATTTCAGAAATGGTGATGATCATGCAAATCTATGCAGATTTGAAAATCTTAAAAATAGACGGTCCATATAATGTGTTAGAAGATGAACTATTTTTAAGACTAGAAATCCTTATTTTTATTATTATTATTATTATTATTATTTTGTCTATGAATCTAGAGGTCGAGATGACCAATTTGAGGGCTTTCCAGCATAAAAACAACATTATCTAATGAGTTTTTTAGATGCATCTTACTCATATAGTATAAAGTTGACAACTTATATAAACTATTTCGTTGAGAGAAACAGGAAAACATCCATCAATTGCATGCACCATCAACCTTCAAAAAGTTGTAATAAAGACTCAACATGCCCAATCCGAAAGATGATGCATCCGAAAGAAATAACTTGAAATACCACCTATCAACATTAATGTTATTAAGTAACCCTATTCACTCTTTTCGTAATTTTTCCAGCACAGGGTTTTTGTACTGGAGCCAATGGAATTAATTACTTTAAAGTTTGTTTTTGGACCGGTCATCACTGTTGCTTATTTGCTTGGTTTTATGGAAATTGTTGAAATTGCAATATTTTTTGAGCTACAAAATCATGACATAAATACCTATACTTAGAATGTATTTTAGATTTTGAATTCATTTTTAATAGGGAAACTAATTGCATGAGAGATAAACTATTTAACATTTTACCTATATTATTTGATTTATTTTTTAAAATATTCAACAAAAGACATGTGATAATGAGTTAGAATAGTTGCAAACATGTAAAATGTTAAATGTTGCATCTCTCATGGGTATTTGTGATAATGGTGCGGTTTGCATAAGATTCCAACTTTAAAAAGTAAGGTGCACCACCAAATTTTATCATAAAATGTATTTTTGTTGTAAAAACTTCTTAGGATAGCTTCAGAATCTATTTTCATCTCTAATTATAAAATTTTATACTAAAAAATGGTTCAAATCAAGTAGACCGATAAACACATAAAAATATTGAAATTTGACGGTTTAGACAATGTGTTGGAATATGAACTATTTATTGTATTCAAAATCATTTTTTATGTATATTCATGTATCTCGATGTTGAGGTGATCACTTAAAGGGTTTTCCAATTTCAAAATACAATTTCAAAATGGCCTTTTACGGTGGATTTTTTAGGTGTACTTTAATTCTATATTTTAAGATTTGCAAGGAAATTTTCCTCTCTAATTTGGAGTTTTAAAAGGGCACAACATTTCAATACAAAGAGGCCACAATCATCACTTTGAAATTGGGTGGTTGAAGATGTGTCATTATTTGAGAACAAAGTTCCAAATAAAATTTTTCAAATGTTCTGACATACTCTCATGTAATGGATTTCACATCCAACTATCAAAAGTGAATGTGACATATTTGTACTAAAAATCAATGGTCTCGTATACAATCCCTTTTGTTTAAACTTTTTTTTGGCCAAGTGACATATTGATTATTAAAAAGAAGAAGCAACATGTATAAAAAAAGTTCTTTGTTCTTTTATAATTCGAAGTTAAGTAAGCATGAAGCTCATGTTATTCATGCTTTATGCAATGTTGTCAGATTCGCTTCAGAGTCTTTTTCGGTTTTGTGCTTCTACCAATTTAGGGGAATGCTTCAGACCTTTTTTTTTTTTAAAAAAAAAAAATAAATAAATTAGATATTTATAATATATTAAAATAATAAAAAAATTAAAATTAAAATTTCAAATCATAATTTTTTTTTTTGGCTTCCGCTGAAGAGGACAAAGCTGATTGAAATGGCAGCAATAGGCTTTGCTTCATTTTGATTTAGGCCTAAAATCCGAAGGCTCAACCGAAGCAAAGCGACTTTGACAACTATGCTCTATAACCTTCTTCATAGTATAAAAATATATGGGTTTTGTTAGGCTATGCCACTTAGTTTTATACCCTTAAAGTCTTCAATATTTTTGTACACTTAAATACTCTTATTCTATAGTGTAGTAATTTTTTGTTTAAGGGTATTTTAAGTAATTAATAAAAATAAAATAAAAATTGTTAATAAAAATAAAAATATTTATTAACTATTGTGGATAATGACATCACTCTCAAGCTGCATTAATTATTATTTAACTATTAATAGAATGCTACTATTTTTTTATAAAAATATCCATTCTACTCTTCTAAATGATAAAAAATAAATTTTTCCATATTACAATTTAAAAGTATTTAAATGTAAAATAAAGTTAAAAGCTCTAAGAATATAACTTATCAAAACCTCATATTATATATAATAAGACGAATTATTTCTTGTCCCCGATCCTTGGGAAACAAAAAGAGGGAGGAGTAAGTGGCAATCGTTTCGTTTAAAAAACTCAAGGGTAAAACCGTCATCGATCAAAAGCGACCTGACACCTCACACCCTACGACCAATTCCTTTTACAATGACGGAGGAGAGCAGAACGGGTATTTTCTGAATAATTCAGGGCGCTCCTTCCCCTATGCTAAAAGCTGATCCCCCAGCCGGCGTTTCTAATATCCTTACCCCGTGAAATCACAGCCCTCCACGTGGCAAGATCCCAGCGGGTCCCCACCACTGGGCCCCACAATCCGAGCCGTTAAAAGCCCCCCTTCCGATCAGCAAAAAATTCGGAAGCCGCTCCACGCCAATCGATAGCCGGTTCCTCCTCTCTCTGAGCCCCGGATTTTATCTCCCCCTTCTACATAATCGGCGATTTTTAGGCCCACTCCTCCATAAAAACTCGCTTCTCCTTTGCTCTCTTTCTACGCTCTGTAAAGGATCTTTTATATGTTATTGGCGGTTGATTGATTCTCTTTGGAGAGAGAGAGAGAGAGTTTTGAGGTATTTTCGGTTCATTTTCTTGGGATCTGTTTTTCTTGTGATATTTGTGTTTTCTAGGGTTTTTTTGGATTGGAATGTGGGTTAGTGGTGGTGTGGATTTTGGTTTTTTTTTTTAATGGTTTTGGTTTATTTTTTGGGACTCGATTTTGATCTTAGCTTTTTTCTCTTTTGTAACAGGGTGTTGGTTTGATCACTATGTCGGGGCCGCTTGATCGATTTGCCAGGCCATGTGATTATCGTTATTCAATATTAATATTCGTATTTGATTTAATGGTTAAAAGGGGACTGGATTTTTTTTTTTCTGGGATTTTCAAATTTTTCCTGATATTCTTCCCAAATTGTTGTTGTTTTTAATTTGATTTACTAATTGTAACAACGAAACTTAGCTGGTTTCTCATAATATATCATCATCTTATGTGTGTTTGATTATTGCGGTGATGATTGTAGGTTTCTTTCTCGCCATCTCTTTTTTTGTTCAATTTCTAGAAGTTATTGTGATATTTGGAGGGATAAGTGATTATTTATTTCAAAGTGCTTCGTCTTAATAAAAAATATTCTTCAATATTGTGTGGGTTTGGATTTTGCACTGATGATTGTAGCTTTCTTTACTTTTAAATCTTTTGTACCTTTTATGTGGGTAATTTGGATGGCGAATCCGTGATTTAGGATTTCTTTTCTATTTGTGTGAGTTTTATGTTTACTGTAAGATGATGATTGTTCTTAGATTTCTATTTTCTTCCCCAGTTTATCAGTTATCAGCTGGACAAAGAAGTGCACTGGAATTAATTATGAAATTACTTTTTATTTTTTGTATTGGTCTGCATGTCATTTCAACCATATTCTGATAATTTTTGTTTTGCAAGTTTGTATACATCTGGTAGACACCTTCCTATGTCACATTAGGGTTTCCCCTTGGGTTTTCGCTTTGGGAATTTCTTGGTCATATGTCAGAGTATTGTTCTAAGATCTAAGTTAATTTGGTATGGTTCAGTTTCATAAATATATGGATTTTTGTGTTCTACAAGTTTTACTCTGCGTGGACGACTAGGAAGGACAACTGAGAATTTTGGCACTGCACTTGTGTTTCACATTTGTGGTTGTGTAGTGAAGATGTTCAATATGTCTTCAATGTCCATTGAAGAGTTCAATTGTTGTTATCATCATAGGCATTTCCTTGACCAAACACACTACCTTTTGGCCTTTATTTCCATTTCGAGATTCTGCTGTTTTCTCTTGAGAAATTTATGTAATGTTGACTTTATCAAAAGCATAATAAGTTAGATGGGACTCTTGTCATAATAGTTTGATCTTTTTATATTCTAATGAGATAATTCAGTTTTTTAAGATAATTTTTCTTTGTAATGTAGAGCCCGTAATGTATGTACATGGTAGTTCACAAAGTACCAGATTGCAATGTCTTTTGCTCCTTTGAGTTTGCATGTGTCCAACCATTGACTATTTTTTGGAATCTAAGGTTACATTTTCATGCTTATGTTGACAGTTTGCTTGCTGTGCACAACTATGTATGAGTTAGTGAAAAAAAACAACTATGTAGGAGTTTCAGATTTCTGATGATGTATGGTACTATGGTTCTAACTATTGGTGTGGAATGACTTTCATTGGCATGTATATTTGACAGGCTTTGAGGGCTTCTCCAGCCATGATGAGAAAAGAGAAAGGAAATCAGATTTTGAGAATTCAGAAGATGAGAGGAGGACAAGAATTGGGTCTTTGAAAAAGAAAGCAATCAATGCATCGACAAAATTTAGACACTCTTTGAAGAAGAAGGGTCGGAGAAAGAGTGACAGTAGAGTCCTCTCTGTTTCAATTGAAGATGTGCGGGATGTTGAGGAGCTGCAGGCCGTTGATGCTTTCCGCCAAACGTTGTTATTGGATGAATTGCTTCCCTCAAGACATGATGATTATCACATAATGTTGAGGTTTGTTGTTTTTATCTTCCTTTTCATTTTCCATTTGTTGGAAAAAGACAAAAAGTTACTTCTCAAAATGTAACAAGAGAGAAAATAAGCAAAATGAAAAATTCAATTTGGTTAGAGACAACTGCTTTGACCTCTAGTGCCGAACACTGCACACTTATGTTACTCACTTTTGTACTGAAAATTGATTTTCTGATGATCAACTTTGAATCCAGTTATAATTAAATGATAAGGTGAATGCATAAACCTTCATTCAATTCCTCAAGCAAATAAAAAAGAAAGTCTTCATTAGAGAAAAGTTTTCAACCCCTTGTGATGTAAACAAGCCTTCATAAACGCTGATATATTCTTCTAAGTTATGTTGTTTAGAGATATTTACCCTAATTGCAGTCCTAGGTAGTTGGCTAGAATCAGCTTTCCCAAGAAATGTGTTAAATAGTCACACACTTTCTTTCTCTTTTCTAAAAGAAAATATTTCTTGTTCTGTAACAAGGCAGGATACTTAACAAAAAAAGGAAAAAAAAGAAAGAAAAAAGTTCCATAAGCATTTCTGGTAACTATGTGCCAACTCCTAAGTCTTGGTGTGCTAATCAAATAAAGTAGCCACCAGTGAAAAAACTCATTATGCCAAACTTTACTTGCTGAGAACGCTGGATTCCTTTCATTGCAAAGGGCGTTGTAGATTTTGGCTTGAAGATACTGGATGATTCACTACCCTGTCAAACATTTTCTTATTTTCTCCTTTCCTATTAAAATATGGAAATCATCTTATACAGTGCCCCTAAAAATGGGCCATTTCTTGTACAACCTTTCTATTTTTTTCATATCAGGAAGCATTGTATTTTGAATTTAATTTTCACAGACCCCCTTTCGTACACTTCATTCCCTTTTCACTTGTTGTTCTCCCATAGTATGCCCTTGTGGAAGTTCTATTTCCACCTATGTCCAAAACAAGGCCCTAATTCAGTCTCTTTCTTTCAAATGAGGTTGAGTTCTATTTCTCTTTCTTGTAAATAGAGGATAGAGATGAGGTCTGTTTGCAGCTGGGAAAAAGCTGCTACTATCTCTCAAGAAAACATGGTATCTCAAGAAACTAATCTCACAATATTGGGCCCATGAAATTTATCCACCAATCGGAGCACACAATTTCTCACAAAATCAGACCTATAAAGAAGACCAAATTTAGGGAGTGAAGAACATTAAGAAAGAAGAAGTCAAGAGGTTGTGAAAGACAGAAGACCTCTTTTCTTTGTAGAGCTTAAAAAGCAAGTGACGACCATCGTGTTTGAAGAGTTGTAGCTCAATAATGGCAGAAAATACAAGTAAAAGTTGCAGTAATAATTGCCTTAAAATGGAGAGCCAAGCACCAAAAGAGAGTCAGGCTGATATTCAATAGAAACAGGGATGCAATTCTCTTTCTTTTTCTTGTTGATGGATTCATTTCTCTTTCAGAAGAGAGAAACGAAGAGAAGAAAAATGGCAGACTGATTTCAACACAAAAACAGGACAGAAATCCAAAGAGGACGACTAGAAAACTCAGCTGCAGATGTTTCTTCTTAATTTGCTGATACTTTTGCTGGATAAACAGATAAGCAATGGGAATTTCACCAAAACTGATTGCCTTCTGAATATCTGGTGATTGTTGAAGATTAAAACAATCAAAGGGGCTCAGTGTGTTCATCTCCATTGGCCAGAGCTTAGACTGATTTTCAACACAAAAAAAAGGGCACAAACTCGGAGAGAAGGACTAAAAAATTCAGCTGTAGATGTTTCTTCTTAATTTGCTAATATTTTTGCTGGAGAAACAGATAAGCAATGAGAATTTCCACCAAAACCGATTGCCTTCTGAATTTCCGGTAATTGTTGAAGATTAGAACAATCAAAGGGGCTCTGTGTGTTAATCTGCATTGGCCATAGGTTAGATAGAAATTCTAACTCAACTAAAAAGAATTTCCCAGAAATAAAACCCTGGAAAAATGAATGGAAATTTTTTGCAGTTAACTCCCCAATGGCTTAGAGTGGGAAATTGAAAGAAGTATTTTTGAGGGAGAAAGAAGATGTGAGTGAAGCAATATTTCACAGTTGAGTCCCAAGAAAAAGAGATTCTCTCCTTTTTGGACTTTTGAGACACACTTCTCGGAAAGGAACACGATAGGAAAGTTGCAGAGAGAGAATAAAGAGAGGAAGAGGAATTTTCAAGGACATGAATTAGAGCGAAAGGCGTTTAGACTGGTTTCAGAGGATGTTGGTACAAATAAGCTTTCATGGGGGTATGATTTGGGAGAATGACAAGAGAAAGGGGGATGAGGTCTATAGAATGGGTTCCATGAAAATTAAATCCAGCACAGAGTGCCACTTGATATGAAAAAAATGGGAAGGTTTTGTATAAAATGCTCCAATTTTTTGGTGTTGTATATTATAATCTCCCCTTACATATTTTTCATCGTGCTCCAAACCACTTCATTCTATTCTCAAATAAATTTGACTGGCAAATTCCTATAGAATTTCATGACATGATACTTCTTGATTTGAGATTTTTCATCATCTTTTTTTTAGTGCTACAAATACAATCTTAGAAGGGATATCTATTTACTCAAAAAAGTTATTCAATTCTCTGCCATACTTTTGTGGACTTTATAAGGCATCATGATCAAATATTGTCATGTTTAGATATTTATGTGGGATCCAGACACATTATTCCATCAAATTGTCCATCTCTGAATGTGGGCATACATATGCTTATGGCTATCGATTTTTTGCTTCTGTCATCCATTATCTTGTTGCATAATTGTGCTACCATGTGCATACAAGAAATTGAAGTCTTTTCATTACTTTCAAATTCATGAGCCTCACAAATCAATTCTGCACCCCATCTCATATTTGTTAATTCTCATGAACAATTTTTGTGACACTTGGAAGCTATTTGATCATTAATCAAGAGGTTAAATGATTAAGATACTTCCGTCTGGGCATTTGATCTTATGTTTGACTTTGGTGGATTATCAAATACCAATATGACCAAGAAAAAAGTCAATTAAGTTCTTAGTACAAGGAAGGCATGATGCAACACCAAGTGTACACAAGGATAGATTTTGGGGAAGTATGGTCTGCTATTTGTTTTGATTGTGTGAGTTCCTTTCATTGCTTGACCTTTAGGGTGTGTTAGGGTTGATGTAGAGAAGGTATGGTCCAAATATAATATTTGTTTTGAATGCAAGAAGTTTCTCATTGTCTACGGTTTCTGTTTGATTGAGCAAATCCATCTTGGCTGTGCTGCGTTGTTTGATGAGAAGTATACATCAAAAACTGGCAAAGTATACTGGTTTGGCTATATTAAGGAGTAATGTAGTAATGGAAGTTCTATTTAGTAGATGTATTTTATTCTTTCATTATTTTAACTATTAGTCTATACGCCACAGCTAACTTTCTGTGTAACTATGTCATTGCAGATTCTTGAAAGCAAGGAAATTCGATATTGAAAAAACAAAGACCATGTGGTCCGAAATGCTTCAATGGAGGAAGGAATTTGGTGCAGACACGATTTTAGAGGTACTATCAGATGTGAAACAAGGATTTGAAAATCTCGCCTAAACATTCTCCTTTTATTTTTTTGCTTCAACATTGTTGGTTAGCATTGAACTTTTAATATTTGTTAGGATGGTCATATGGGGTTGCTGTGGAGAGAGGGTGGTTTACGGTTTTTAAATTTTCAATAATTAAATTTTTATTAAAGCATCAATAAGAAGTGTACATCAAGTTGCGCAAATAGTGCATATATACGGATTCTTTTACACTACTTCCCCCTACCAAGGAAACTCTTTACCTACTAATTTATAAGGGCATTGGTATCAGTATTGGTGGCTTGAAAACATGATGTCATGTTTTTAATGCTGGTGATCTCCTATATAGTACTTGATTTCTTAATGGGGACATTCAATTAATAACCCTTCCTCATTAAGGGTCTTCAAAAAATCTTTTTATATATATATATATATATATATATATATATATATATATATATATAGTA